ATAAATCATTCATATATATTTTATAAAAGTAATTACTATTGATCTATACCTATTATTACCCCATCTTTTCAAGTCCCCATTGAATTTTTCCTATTCCTTTACACCTATCTGCCCACCACACTTTGCTATCCTAGGAAATGCCTCGATTCTCCATTTTCCACCCACTTTATATTTCCTTTTTGGATACTTACACATGTCTTACTAGTTATCCTTCTGTTTTTACAATAATGGTCCTATGCAGTATTTGTTCTTATGAGACTGAGTTAGTTTGTTCAGCATAGTGCTTTCTAGACTCTCCCATGTTGTATAGTGTTCTATGAAACTTTTGTTTTGTTTCTTAGTGCTGCTTAATATTTCATTGTGTGAATATACCATAATTTTTCTATCCATTCATTTGTTGATTTGGCTATTTCAATTTTCTTGCTATTGTGAATGATGCTACTATAAACAAAGGTGTACATTATCTCCATTCATGTCTCAATTCTGGTTTTCTTGGGGTATATTCCTATAAGTGGAATAGGTGGGTCATATGTTCAGCTGTTTCTGGAAAAACCAAATTGCTTTCCAGAGTGGAATTAACAACCTCCAAAAACCCACTGGAGGGCCAGCTATGAGTCAGTTCAATGAGTGAATTAGTGATATTTCTATTAAGAAAGACACTCATAGGTAAACTGGAAGGTATTTTATTTTTTAGTAATAAATAGTTTAAGAAATTTTATTCTTCACATATCCATTAATAAATTAAATTCTTTTTTTTTCCCTTTGTAACTGAACTGTATTTGTTACAACCTTTGTGGTAGCAGGTGACCTGGCACTGCAAGCTTGGTTACATCTCAGAACCTGCCTTGACAGCAGCTGCCTAGGAGGTGCCTAGTTTATCAATCACAAAGTTGAAAAATTAAAAATTAGTATGTAGAAGAATTCATCTATTCTTCTTTCTCTAGCAATCATCTACTGATTATCAACTATGTGAAAAACTTGCAAGGTATTGACTAAATGACACAACTTCTTTTCTGAATTATGTGCAGATACAAAATTTGGCAGGACACGGAGGGAAAAATACATCTGAAAAAGAGAAAAATAGACTTAAGGAGAGGCACCTGCATCAGGTGAGATACCCAACCCCAGAGCCAGCACACTGATGTGCTGGGAGGGAGGGACCTGCAACTGCCCTGGAAACAAACAGGTCCAGTGGCAGAACATGACCACCAGACAGGGCTAGTCTATAGACCAAAGAGGAAAATAGACTTTAGGAGAGGGGGCTGCAATCAGGTGAGAAACTCTCAGCCCTTGCTGGCACATTGTTGTGCTTGGAAGGGCGTGGTCTGCAACACCCAAACGACAAAACTGCTTAAGTTAAGAAACCTG